TTATTTTTATAATAATAATATTATTATTATTATTTACTCGTTTCTATTTTTCATCTTTAATGACAAATGCAAATGCAGTGTCTCAGTATTTATGATATGTATATTGACAAATCTAACATTCACTTTGATTAATGAATGAGTTGTGAGTATAGGCTGGTTTCACACTTGTCAGCTAAACATCTATATAAATGATTAAGCTAAGATAATTGAGGTTATGTTAGGGTGAGTGAATGATCCTGTAAGATTTGATGAAGTAATGATGGATACATGAACATTGAATCAGAAGATTCTAGTGATCATCTGGTCAAAACTAATGGCAGGTGAAGTTTCATGTCGTGTCATGTCAGTTTCAGTGAGTTATTATTTTAAAAGAAGGCTCAGTCTTTGTGAGCAGGTGTCTAATTCAGCAGCAGATCCCTAATTCAACAAACAAAAAAGACGATGTGCATGCGACAGTGAATACAAAAGCACAACAGACATCATCAAAACAAATGACAATTACCGTCTCACGACAGCGCCCTCAGGACAGGCCTGTAATTTCATTATTGCTTTATTTTCTTGGGAAACTAATGAGCTAATAGGGATCTTTTTTTTTTTTTTTGGTTCACATGAAAACTATAATGCAGAAGGCAGGTAAATCAAAATGACATGAGCTGGAAAGTTATTAATGGTCCTCAAGGCAATCATTTTTACATAAATGTTTACATTATTAATATTTGTGTTTTGTTTTGTTTTATTTTAGGAAAATGACATCCAGTACTACGACTCCAAAGCCGACTCGGATGTTGTAAGTGACAGATATTTGTATTTGTTTTGTGCTCTTTCAAATGAAAACTTTTCATTAACATTATATATGTATTTTATATAATATTTTAATAATATTGTTTTTTGTTTGTTTTTTTTATTTATAATGGATTTATTTTATTTAATTTTATGTATTATTATTATTATTATTATATGAAAAGTAATCAAAAACTATTAAATAAAAGAATATTATTAGTATATTATACATATATAATATATTGTATGTTATACTAATCTACAAAGGATCTATTAATCTACTAATCTCTTATTTGTGTTATATAAGTGTATAAGTTATAAGTGTCTTTATTTCATATTTAACAATAGGCTTGTTTAGTTACCTTACATAAGTCATTGTGTCAATTTAAAGCTCATCAATGAATTTTTCAAAGAAACCAATGATTTTAGGAGAACTATGAGACGATGTTGATTCTTAAAGGGATACTCCACCCCAAAATGAAAATTTTGTCATTAATCACTTACCCCCATGTCGTTCCAAACCTGTAAAAGCTTCGTTCGTCTTCGGAACACAATTTAAGATATTTTGGATGAAAACCGGGAGGCTTGTGACTGTCCCATTGACTGCCAAGTTAATAACACTGTCAAGGTCCAGAAAAGTATGAAAGACATCGTCAGAATAGTCCATCTGCCATCAGTGGTTCAACGGTAATGTTATGAAGCGACGAGAATACGTACGTATGCTCTTCTGCGTCAGCCCCGATGCATGGATGCGCTGTTTTTGTTCAAATTAAAGCGTAAATACACGTAGAAAACGTATCTTTGTGTCGCCTCTGACACAGAATAGCATACGCTGCTTTCGTTCAGCGGATATTCTCCAAAATGGCGCTACAGTGATGCAGAGAGACACAGAGGAGATAAATTGTTGAATAAAGTCGTTATTTTTGTTTTCTTCGCGTACAGAAAGTATTCTCGTCGCTTCATAATGTTACGGTTGAACCGCTGATGGCAGATGGACTATTCTGACGATGTCTTTCATACTTTTCTGGACCTTGACAGTGTTATTAACTTGGCAGTCAATGGGACAGTCACAAGCCTCCCGGTTTTCATCCAAAATATCTTAAATTGTGTTCCGAAGACGAACGAAGCTTTTACGGGTTTGGAACGACATGGGGGTAAGTGATTAATGACAAAATTTTCATTTTGGGGTGGAGTATCCCTTTAAGTGTTCTGAGTTATGAAAGTGCACCCTTTGAGCAACTAAATTCTGCTCTGCGATTTTTATGTATCATATACTCAGTAACAACCTTTCGATTGTATAAGTGAAAGGTCATTGCGGCTGATTGATTTCTCAGCGCGCAGAACGACGGATGAGTAGAGGAGGAATGGAGGTACAATGAGAGAGAGGAGGAACAGTAGAGCACGAGAAGTCATAAATCAGAGAGTGATTTTGTGCGGTAGAAGCGTGGCAGGCGTGTGATTAATGATTGGCCACTTTAGGGACTGTCAACGTCTCTAATTGGAGGACATCGCTCATCATTAAAAGGGGCAAGGGTACAGTGGCCCACCGACACCCTCGTGACCCCTGCCGGCCTGAGAAACACAGGGTCAGAAAGTGTGCTGAGCTCAATTCCTTCAAACACACCTGCACATCTCCAGAAACACTCGACACAATAGCACTGCAGCTTCTACTGTGTTCATGCCCTTATTGTGCAACTGTAGAGACATACAAATACTTACAAATCCTTTGAGGTTCAAAGAATATTGAATTTATATTTTGGTTTTATTGTATTTATAATTCATTAGATTAATTAATGACTTATTTATCAATATAATAGTTTCTGGGTGATTTCTAAAGACTGACAGGAATCATTACTTTTATTAACTTCAATAATTAATACATTTGTCGTTACATTTTGTCCAGTTGTTGGATTGACGAAGATTATTGTTATTATTATAATATTATTATTTAATAATATTTATCTATTTGTTAGCATTATTTTCATTTCATTTATTGCAGTACATGATACATTATTATTATTCATATTTTGTAAATATCACATAAAAACTATTTATTTATTTATTTTAGTACTTTTTACAGGTATAATAATAATAATAATTCATTATTTTTATTGCTATTTGTCTCTGAATTTGTACATATGCAAAAGTGTTTACATTTTCAATATATTGATATTGTTTCAGTGTATTCAAATGTACATAAAAGCTTCATTTATGAATATCTATGAGTACAAATGCAAACAGAGGAGTTGCAGTTCCAAGAAGAAGTGTTTTAGTCGACAAAGTCAGATGAGAGGTGGCAGTGGAAATCAGGTCCATCAGCCCAAGCTGAGGTTTCTCTTTTTATCATCACAGTCTTCTCCATCCATTTGGTCTCCGTCGTCTCGCTTGGCAAACCGTGGCACGGTGCCATTCCATTCCCTCCCACTCTCCTCCTCTTCCATGCTGTTTTGCGATGCCCTTTGGAGCTTTGCTCTCCTCCACCTACTGCAGGAAAGATCTGCTCTTTTTTCCTGCCCTAGAAGTTGTAATCTTCAGTCCTGCAGGCAGATCTGCATCACGGGCCATTCTAATGATGTTGACTCTTCCTCACATCTACTGACGAAACCTTTGGCTTGATGTCTCGCAGGAAACTTTTTTAGGATGTGCTTCAGATACTTTACAACAGGAAAATGCAAACATTTTGCAAAAAAAAAAAAAAAGTGCAGTACTTTTAAAAATCCAGATGTAGACCACAGTCTATAATAAAAAATAAATTGTACATTTTAAAATTCATAGTACACCATCATAATCCAGATGGTCCAATGGCTTCATCTTTAATTGATTACGTCGCCATTGGTCCAAAAGCACAGTTATTTACATTAAAACACCAGCATCTGCCTGCTGGATGTCAGTTGCCAAGTGCTCTGATGTACAAATAACAGATTAGCACAAGAGTTAGAGGTCCACTAATGCCACATACATGCTAAAAAGTCTAAAAGTCTTAAGTGAATGCACATTTAGATACGGCATAGGTGTTTTGTTTCTTGTTTCTAAAATAGCACTGTCTCTCTAACACAATATAAGTGTTTTGATTTTATCCTATTACAGTTAGTGTAGCATAATATGATATACTACCATACATGCTGTTTTTGCAGTGTGTGAATTTTATGTCCGTATACCAGGGTTTCTGCAGGTCTTTAAAAGGGCGTAATTCGACAAATTAAGGCATTGAAAGGGTCTTAAGTCTTAAGTTCGTAAAGTTGTGGCATTAAATATTGCATGTACTGCAAAAAATGAATATCTTTCTCAGTTATTGTCTTTTTTTAACCAATAGAAATATCTAAACATCTTTATATCAAGATACGTTTTTTTTATTCGAGATGCAAAATGAAAATATGACAAATTTTAACAAAATTTTATGTTTATGCCTAAAACATGAACACGTATCTGTCAGTGGAGTATGAAAACTTGTTTTCTCTTTAAATTAAGTAGATTTTCTGAGCCCAATGGCAGATATTTGTTCTTTTTTAATAAGCTCACTTCATTTTGATTTAAAAACAAAACAAGAACAAGACTTCTTAGCTCACTTTATTTTGCTTCTCAAGTAAATGTATCTTGATTTAAGAATCTTTAAACATTTGTACATGCAAACAAGACCAAAATATTGAGAAAGAATATCACTTTCTGCAGGTACAGTAGAAATTAGTGTTATTTCCATATTCTGGTGGTTGGGAACAGAGGTGTTCAGGCTTTCAGCTATTTGTTTGTAAACTGATTAATGGAGTAATCGGTTGGAAGCTGTATTTTTAAACATTCAAGTGTTGCTAATACAACTCATTGTGCTGTTTTGATAACATGTTGATGTATTATGTTCCTTTCAATTTATTCCTGAAATTTTCTTTACTTGGTCTTAAAGACGTCTTGAAAAAGTCTTAAATAAAACCTGCAGAAACCCTGGTATACTGTATAAAATATTAAGACTTAATTCTGCTTAAAAAAACATTGGAAAAAAAGCCTTTTTATATTTTAGATGGAACCTTATAAGAAAGCTGTGTTCAAAAAATGGTCTAAAAAGATTACATTTTTTATTGAATCTAGCATGTGATGTGATACATTCATGTGACGGTATAACATGCTACTGTTTGAAACATTTAATGTTGTGTTATGCATACTGTTTCTCAAACTAGATTTAAATAGTAAGAAGATCTGCTCTTTGTGCAGGGTTTATAAAATATAAGGATGCCATTTTTGTTTCTAAAAGTCTTTATTAGGGTTATTATTTTGTTAAATTTGGACTGTGACACATGCACACTAACACTCTCAAAAGGCAAAAGTGGAAGCGGCCTGTAATTTTGTTCGTGATTAAAATTAACCCTTGAAAGATAAAGGTCATTTTTGTCTCTCTTTAGGTTGACCTTTAATTAAACCTTCAAAACAGGGTGATAAAAGTAACAAATGAGGAAATGAATGGAGTTAAACAGGTGGTGTATGAACGGGGAAAATGAACCAATCACTGGATTTTGAGGTCCTAATTAGAAGCTGTCTTGGGTAATTATGACTGGACTCGACTGACGCTAAAAACACTCGAGTGAAGGATAGTCAGGTGGAAGAATAAACAAATAAAGGACATCGAGCTGAGATCCCCTCAAAGACGACTTTTCCAAATCAGTTGCCTGAAACGTGTCTAAACGAGCAGAAAATGGGGTGTAATTGTGTGTGCCGTTGATGTGTTGCCTTGAAAAGCGCAACAGTGTTTGTTATCAGGGTGGTCTGGTCATTTATAGCTTTCCTTCAGTTTAATATCTCGGTTTAACAAGCAGACTGCAGGAGTTTGGAGTGATTTTATGCATCAGATCAAAATGGACTTTTATGTACATCCTTTAAAAACGTTCCGACGTTTATTATAAATAATTCATCCGTGCAATGAAGAAATTCACTGTTTGTTTTTATGTTAATGCAATGCAACTTCCTCCACTTCTGAAGCAGCTTTTCTTTTTTACTTTTTCTTTTCTATTCAACATACTTTTGCATTCAGAAATGTCACCTTATAATGTCATTTTCATGTTGGCTTTAGCGTACTACAATTTCTGCGGTATGCAGTATGTACGTTGAATGCCATGTGAAAAAGTTTATGCGTGGAAAAGCAACATGACCTTCTGCATTTTCCAGAATATGCAGTGCAAAACTAGAGCTCACTGAGCGGAATTCTGTATCCACAATGCAATGTCCTCCACTTGACCTTTCATTTCCAGTGTGACTAAAGAACCTTAAGTAATATCAGCCACCATTTATAACACCATCTTGGCTCATTGTTTGATCCCAATGCCAAAAGATAAGACATATTTACACAAAACTGAACTGAAAATGTGAAATCTATTTTAGATTAACCTTTGGTTAATATAAGATCAAGTGACAACAGTGTTGCACAGTAATGTTTGCAACATTTATCATTGCATATTGACTATTTTGTGTACTATTTTTAAAAACAGCTCAACCCTAGTATTGCAATATGAACACAGCTGCTGTATTTAAAGGAATAGAAATCTAGCATTACATCACTTGCTCACCAATGGATCCTCTGCAGTGAATGGGTCCCGTCAGAATAAGAGTCCAAACAGCCAAACAACACAATAATCCACAAGTAATCCACACCACTCCAGTCCATCAGTTAACATCTTGAAAAGTGAAAAGCTGCATGTATAAGAAACAAATTCATTATTAAGGCATTTCAACTGTAAACTGTTACTTCTGGCCAAAATACGAGTCCATAATCCATAATAACTCTTCATCCAGTGAAATGTCCATCCCCTGTTGTTCTCTTACGTCAGTTTGTTTAGAACTGTTCTGAACTGTTTTCAGTTGTAATCAATGTTTGATCTGTGCATATTTCTCTCCTGATTCAGACAAGGCAACCTTTTCACTGGAGGAAGTGTTATTATGGATTATAGACTCGTATTTTAGCCGGAAGCAATGGTTTGAAGTTTAAAACGCTGTAAAGATGGATTTGTTTCTTACAAACATGCAGCTTTTGACTTTACAAGATGTTAATTGATGGACTGGAGTGTTGTGGATTGTTGTGATGTTTTTATCAGCTGTTTGGACTCTCATTCTGACAGCACGCATTCACTGCAGAGGATCCAATTGTGAGCAAGTAATATAATACAAAATTTCTCCAAATCTGTTCCCACGAAAAAACAAACTCATCTACATTTTGGATGGCCTGAAAATTAGTACATTTTCATTTTTGGATAAACTGTTCTTTTAAGTTTCTCTACACAGTATCAGTATTTGAAAACTGCTGTTTGAATAAGTGTTTAATCCTGTTTGTTCAGGTTAGCTTTAATCATGACCTACTAAAAATTTCTGATTATTAATGCTCTGAATCATGTATGGAGCCAAAACATTATTACCTAGAGTCAGATATGAACTAGTCATGAGTAAAGTCAATGCACCGTGTCATTTCAAATTATTTGCAAGGAAAACTGAAAGAAATCCCAACAGGTTTTCCCATTTTCACGAGGTTATTCGCATTCTATATGTGCATGTGCGTGTTTATGTCACATTGAGGGGTATTGGAAAACCACCGTCTCCATGTTCGGCTCAACAACAGTTTATAATTGCATTTTAATAGACAATTAAAGGCAGGCCATAAATCAGCCCTCACACTTGGCAGGAGGCTTGAATTTATTTTGAGGAAAACAAAAAAAATAAAAACAGTGTTTACTACGTCAACCCCAATTAACCCATGCCACTCTATTACTGTACACCACACTTCACCCTGCGATGAAGACAAGGGTGTTTGATTGTGAGATGAAGAATCAAAGACAAAGAGAAAGATTAATGAAGCACAGTGAGTGGAAAATGAATGAATAATAACAATTATTGAAGAAAAGGTCACACTCTAAAAAATTCTGGGTTATATACAACCCAGCGCTGGGTCAAATAAGGACATACCCAGCTATTGGGTTGTTTTGACCCAGCGGTTGGGTTAAATGTTTAACCCAACCTTCTGGATATTAACCCAACCACTGAGTCAAAACAACCCAATAGCTGGGTTTGTCCATATTTCACCCAGCGCTAGGTTGTATTTAAACCAGCATTTTTTAGAGTGCAGACTGAAGATTAACGATGACAACAATTGCCATATTCTTGCTTATTTTGCATGTTTAATCCAATTTTGTGTAAAAATGTCTTGTGCATGAAATGACGAATATGAATCATGATTATCATTTCAGGTTTGTTCGTCACACTGTTTATAAAGTTGAGCACATTGCATTGTGAGATACTGGTTATATCCTCTTTTTTTAATATTAGAATGATTTCTGAAGGATCATGTGACACTGAAGACTGGAGTAATAATGCTGAAAATTCCGCTTTGACCACAGGAATCAATTACTTTTTAATATATATTCAAATAGAAAAAACATTATTTTAGATTGCAATAATATTTCACAATTGAATTATAATTTTTACTGTGTTTTTGATAAAGTAAATGCAGGCTTGGTGAGCAGAAAAGACTTCTTTCAAAAACATTACAAAATCCTAATTATTCCTAACTTCTGTCTGGCACAGACAGAGTACATAATAAATACATAGTGCAAAATTAGTATGGAAGTACAGCATTCCGACTAAATGCAATTATCATGCAGTTTATGCATAGGCTTACTCCTTATGCTTAGCATACAAGAATGAGGTATTTAATAAATGCAAGCCGTTAAAATCCAGTGATCCTGCCATTTTTTTATTTATTTTTTGCTGGCTTGATACTTTCACTGAAGTTCTATCAAAGCCGGTCTTTTTGAGTCGAATTTTGATTCGAGATGCATTAAAATGCTAATTAGCTGCCTGTGTGGCGGGCTCAAGTAGGGGGTAGAGCAGCCGTCGTTCGGCAATCATTGTGGTGATTTATTGACAGGGTTAATCGCCTGAAGGACTTCAATGTGAATGCGATAGCCATCGCCGACACTAATTGATTTTCTGCAATTTGCGAACACTTTGATACCTACTGTTGTATTGTGTCATGGATGAATAGACTGTCGATGTATTATGGCTTTTCCTCTAAAGAGCCACCACCTTTGAGTTGTGGAGGCAGGATTACCCCTGTCATGTCTGTGTAATTAGTGTTTGTCTAATTAATCATGGATGAGTGTGTGTGCGTGTGTGTGTGTGTGTCTAAGTGATTTTCTGCACAAAGGTTTGCTGTGTGTCAATCAACAGTGTTGGGGAATAACTAGTTACATGTAACAGAATTACGTAATTTAATTACAAAATAAAAGTAATTGTAATCAGTTACATACATTTTAAGTAGGGTAACTTGTAACCTGTAACCTATTACATTTCCAAAGTAACCTTCCCAACACTGTCAATCAATGCATTCGGCGTGGGTGTGTGTGTGTGTGTGTGTGTGTGTGTGTGTGCACTGATGTTTGTCTGCTTCTTCTTGTTGCAGCCGGATGATGATGATGGAGAAAACCTCTTGGAAAACCCGAACTCTCTTTCTTTGGAGTTTGTGGATGATCCCAACTTCAAGAACAAAGTCAACTACTCATATACAGCCGTACAGATTCCTACTGACATCTACAAAGGCTGTGAGTACTGACAACAAGCACATATGCTACTGTTCAAAAGCTTGGAAAAGGTAGGATTTTTTTTTTTTTATTCAGCGAGGATGCATTAAATTGATCAAAAGTGACAGTGAAGACATTCATTATGTTGCAAAAGATTTCTGTTTCAAATAAATGCTGTTCTTTTGGACTTTCTATTCATTAAAGCATCCTGAAAATAAAAAGTGCATCAGAAAAAAAATCTGAAATGTTTCTTGAGCAGCAAATCAGCATATTAGAATGATTTCTCAAGGATCACGTGACACTGAAGACTGCTGAAAATGCAGCTCTGCATCATAGGAATAAATTACATTTTAAAATATATTCAAATAAAAAACAGTTATTTAAATGGTAATAATATTTCTGTATTTTTGATCAAATAAATGCAGCCTATAATTTCACGTAATAATATCAATAATATTGGGCTGCACTGGCTGAGCAATATCCTAAATTGAATTGGACTGAATGGGAAAAATGACACTTTAATTTTGCATTGTCTTGCATCTTGTAATATTAGATCACATTTTACCTTGCATGCTTTTGCTGATGGTTTTTGAGGATGAGAGCAAGTCACACAAGCTGTCCATGTTGACATCTGTCTGCTTTGACTAACTTGTGAAGGAGGATTTTGCACCCAAAGTTTGATTGGACACACTCCCTTTAACATCCACACAGGAAATAATTAATAAGTCTATTTTGCTCATGCATGATAACATTGTTAGTTGCAATTTAGTAATTGCATTTCATTGTTTTTTCCCCTCTATTCTATTAGATTAAACCCATTATCGGGTTGTGAATCAACAGTTGAGAACTTCTGATCTATATGATCTGGCTTTGGTTAAGTCAGAACTGTAATTTAATATAAAGCAGCTTCATTTTTAAAGATCAGATACACTCCTTATGCACATTTTCTTTTGTGTATAATGTATAGTAAAAATATACAGTGTATAATGTTGACTGGCTGTACTGTTTAGTAGGATTTATTTAGACATGAACCGTGTTTTACCTCTTTCCTCGTGTTACTGAAGCATTTTCATTTCTCATTATATGCCGAGTATCTGAAAATATCCAGTGGTTTGTGTGCGTGATGTGCTATCTGTCTGATATCTGTGGAGGATTTTACAACTGAATCACAGTCTTGTGTCTTTGATAGCATCTCTCGGGAATCCCTTGAGCGGTCCTTCGAAATGATAGCGAGATTCAATGCGTATGTTCTTAAAGGCACACAGAACGGTCTAATGACAGACAATTTTAAGCTACACACATATATGAACTAGATTGTACGTTAAGAGTACAGCTTTCGGAGAAAAATGTTCACTCTTTTGGTGTTCAGAAAAATGTGTTTCTGCGTCGCTCTGTGATTTGTTAGTGTGTTGACTAGGACGGATGTTTGTAGAATATCCTGAGTGCCTCCTTCATCTGTCTGTGGATGTTTGTGGGCTTATGGGTAATGGATGATTGCTGGAAGATGGATGCTGGCAGAGTGTGATCAAACATTTGGACGCTGTTACCTTTGCTCTGCTCGAATACATAACCATCACATGTCACTGTATGGAGGGTCTCTGGAGTCTCAGAGCTCTTTGATGCATAACACGGACATTTCTTTGACTGAGAACAATAACACAGGTTATATGAGAAGGATGTGTAAACTGTGAACAGAATATATTTCAGCTGTGTTCTAGATGACTATTTACTTGTTTTAAAAACAAGCAAATTATTGCATAAATAGAAGTAAAAATGCATTGGATCCGTGGCATAGTGGTTTGTAAACGTTATCTGGCAGAATCATGTCTCACTGTCAAATCTTGAGCCTAAAGCAACTCTATTAGCTGAAAGAATTTATTTATTTATTTTTATTTAGTTTGTTTTTTTACTCAAATCTTACTGTTAGGTGCACGATTAGAAAACACTAAAAAGTTTTAAAGGCAAAGCATTTTATGACAAAGAAACTTTTATTTTTTTATCATTCTTTATTTTATTTGTAATTTAACTTTATTTTTTAATTCTATTTTTTTTTTTTTTTTTACCACATTAAGACCAGGATCATTCATTTTTCTTTAAACTGACTTGAAGCCATTTTAATTTAAAAAAGTAAATAGAATACATTATACTCAATTTTGATTTGTTGACTTTAATTTATAAGTGTATATACCAGGGTTATTATTATTGTGAACTAAAACTAAATCTAAAACCATAAAAAAAAAAATACTTCAATAACCATTAAAAAAATTACTTGAAATAAAATAAAATAATAAAATAAAAAAGCTTGTTTCATTTTCATTTAGTTTAAGCTGAAGTCTTAAGTACTCTCTCTCTTTCTCTCTCTCTCTCTTGCTCTATATATTTATATATACTATAATAAATCTAAACAAAAATGACAAAACACAACAAAATTACTAGAATTATAACAAAAATTAAAATAACTAAAAATATAAACTTTAGAAAATTGTAAACACAAGTATTTCTTCTTTTCTTGAATTATATATTTATATAATACCAAACTTACCTACTGTGAAATTTTTTGACATTGGAAATACACGGACTGTTATAAACTGTTGCAATAAAGTTTTGTGAGGTCTGGACTGTCCGCTGTAACATGGCGTGACTGTGGGCTCATGGGAATTGTAGTTCAATAAAGGCCTGAGTGATAACCTCTCCACCTCTCTGCGGCTCACGCTGCTAATTTGGCTTAGAAGACAGTGGAGGATGAGGAGGGAAAGCAGCATTAAAAAATCACCATGACCAGGAACAGGGATTAAACATCACCATGGCAACAGAGATGTCCTGACCTGACACTCGGAGGGTGGGTTAGGAGTTCAGTGGATGAACACATCTAGATAAACGAGAAACAGAGAGTGGAGCTTGTAGATAGTCCCGCAAAGTAAATTTAACTGGAGAGGGAAAAACTGAAACCCTACCTGCTTCACTTCATGCCTAACACCCCTTAAGCACGGTAAAATCACTGTAAGTGGCTTATTGCTTTCATAAAACCAAAATCAAATCCAAAATTGTCCCTGTTTACTCTGTCTTATTGGGTCTGTCAGAGATGGATCCTCATAAGTGACAGATTTTTTTCTCTACATAGACAATGGATTGCTCTAATAAGCATAAAAATGGTCAGAACACACAAATGTTGTGTAAAATAGTCCCTTTTTATTTAATTGATGAAGTTGTTTTTAGTATTGTAGTAGGAATCAATCATTCATAACTGTAACATTAATTTTAATATGTGTAAACCCAAGTAATTGAGATAACTTATTTCAAATGAGGAAACCGTTTGCCTCAATTAATTTAAGTTTAGAAACCAGTAGTTATGAGTACTGTGAACTTATTTCATTTGAGTTCACTAAAAGATTATTTCCTAAAATACTGTTAAACTCCACTCATTTTTTCTTTTCTTTGCTTTGAACGAACTCAATTTAATTGAAGGTAGGATTTCCATCCAATAAATATGTTTAGCCCCAACTCATAAAAAAACTGATTCATGCAATGAAATGCAGTTGAGTTGGTCCAAGTTTAAATGAAGTCAATGAATTTATAAAGTGAAATTTTATTGTTTGTCAAATTCAAACGAAAACATTTACTTGGATAATAAATTATTGTAATTTTGTTCCCCCTACAAAAGTTTTTATTTAAAACTGATTTAAAAAAAACAATTTAAAAAATGTTTTTAGTCTGGACATTTGCATATACAGATATATATATAGAGAGAGAGAGAGAGAGAGAGATCTCAGTGGTTTGCAGTGGTGTTTTGAAATGAGGAGGCAAAGTCCTCAAGTGTTTTTTTTTATTTTTATTTATTTTTTATTTATCAAATGTAAATTCATGCCCCAGCCACATTCTCTTGGTTTACATTAATTATGTAATCAATATTCTATTTATTAAAGCCAAGTATGAATCTCATCAAGTTAGCATTTTACATTTATTCCAAAATAATAACTCAAGGCAGTAACAATTAAATAATATGCTTTATTAGTGAACTTATGTTCAGCTATTCTTTTTAATAGTTAACTTTGAACTATTTTTGAATTTTTTGGATCATCAGTCTTCAAAGCTCATTAAATATTGGTCACAGGCACAGAGATTTTAAATTTCACCTAGCTGATTACTCACTAAAAACTCCCACAGATCATGTTTTCAGGCCATTTCAATTGTATTTTAACATAACAAAGTGGTTATACCTAAGTGTGTGAGTTGTTTACTTAGTTTTTTAAAGTAATCTTCCCATTAGCACCATGATATTATTTATTCAGACTGTTTTTTTAACGGTTTTACAGTGTGAGATTGGCTTTTTCCCCACTAATAAAGCACAGCAGAACCACAAGCGCAGTGTTTCTCTTTGTCACAGACAGGGTTGTGTCCCGTCAGAAACTCTCCACAGCTGCCTTTATCCAGACGCGGGTCGAGTGAGGACTCCTGCGCTCACTCAGGCTTTAGCTGCTGTATTGTGTGGTGCTAATGTGAGACCAAAGCAGAAACTTTCCGCTAATAGCAGCGGCTCCGAGTGAAAATGTTTTGTGTGTGTGTGTGTCAGTCTTCATGCAGTAAATGGGCCGGCGTGTGTGTGAGTCCAGCTTTGGCGGCTCTGCCAGGCCTCCTTGGCATTTATTGAGATTGAGAACGTTTCCTCGCCCGCCTGTAATGAACCGTTTTATGATTCATTATCCTGCAGATGAATTCCGCTGCCAAGTCTGCAAACTTTCTAATTAGCACAGGTCAAACAGCCACACGGTTTCCGTCTAATTATCGACGCCTATTACGGAACGGACACTGGAGGAAAGCCATAGTGAGGTGGGTGGTGCGATGCTCAGACGAGGTGTTAGAGAAATTCAACAGAAAAACTCGCGCTCAGATGTCGCTCTTTCATAATGAACATCTCATTTATGTTTACCTTCATCTCAGATATCTTAGTAACACTTTACAAAAAGGTTCCATATGTCAAAATTAGTTATTAGTTGTTGTAAACAATGAAAAATATTTCTGAA